GTTGTTGAACTCTTTCTTGTAGATTAATTAAACAATCGTAAGATCAATGCTCTTGAAGAATATCTGCATTTTTCTTTTCAAAAACGTCTTTGAATTCTTGATATTAGCTAGGAATACTACTTGATGTTTTTCCATTATTAAAAATGGGCATAGCATATATAGCAAAAAATAATCCTTCTTTTGTAGCACGGATGAAAGTTTTTGCATCTACTAGTAAAAGTTTGGATATATTAGACTTATGTACTTCTACTTCACTAACGCAATCTTGGATTATATTACTAAAAAAGTTAAGATTATGAGAAATCTAATCTATTTGATGATTATATGTTTTTAGCCATGATAATCCTAAAATAATCAGATTGAAAGGAGATCTTATTACATTAAATACTACTACACTGTTATGACACTTTATTTTCTTTAATAATTATATTCTTCATTTTGTAATTGTATTGCTTCTTTGAATAATGTTGAGCAGTATGCTTAGCTTCTCTACAATATAAACACAAATCTTCTTAGCAACATTGAGTCTTTTCTTGCTTTGTGAAAGATTTAAAATGTATTCTATTAATTTGCATTGATTTCGGCATCGATGAATATGTTTTAAAAAACTTACAAGTTGTCGCTATTACTTGACTTGTTCTTCTTCAGCCAAGTCTTTGTTCTTGATGTCTTTCAAATAATTGATTGTTGAATACAATGGCTTAAGCAATAAATTGTTCCAAAGATTTCGCTTTCAACATTGTTAATAACAAATCTTTGACGCTATCCTTTAATCCATATCAAAATTTATTGATAAGTGCTTTGTCATTCCAGTCTACATCATAAGCAAGGTTTTGGAATTCAACAGCATATGTGGTGGCTGATTGTGATCTTTATCGTAAAGATAAGAATTTGTTCTCTTCTACTCATTTTTGCTAAGTTTCTCCAAATATTGCTGTAAACACTTCTAAGAATGAATTTAAATTATAAAGAAGTTGTGAATCATTTTCCATCAAAAGTGCAAATCAAAAAAGAGCACTTCCAAATAGAAGTGTAGATGTGAAGGCGACTTAAGTATATCCATCTGTATATTGGAAAGGGTGTAATCTTAAGTAGAGTTTAACTTATTGTAAAAATCCTCAAAATTTTTATCTTATTCTATTAAACTTCTTGGATATATTAATTCTTGCCTTTCTTGAGCTTTTAGATGCAAGATCCCTTAAATTTGGTTGTAAGGCTGATCGACTTATTTTCCTCAACTGTACAACTTCTTGATGTAGACTCTGGACTTCTTTTATAGGTATAGAAGAAGTGCTCCTATGGTTGACATTGGTGATACTTGAAATTTCTGTCCTAAGAGTATTGACAAACTTGTGAAGATCCACAATAGTTGCAAATCTATTCTCACTTTTATTAGGAGTAGCATCCATAATCTTTTCTTTCATAGACAATTCAAACGAATTCAAAAAATTAAATTACAAGAGAGTAATTTGCAACCTCTAATAAAAATTTCTATAAAGAGTGATAATCCACTCTCTTTAAGGAAAAGATCAATGTTAAAAAATAATATTTTTTGTTTAAAAGTGGGTAGTTCGTAACTTTCAAAATACAATAATAGAAGTAGATTAATCCAATCACTTTTTAAAAAAGACAAAAATAGTATGTTAGTACTCTTATCAAACTGTCAAGGACATGAATTTCGAAAAAAAAAATCCTCAATGTACTCTTATGTCACTGAAAAAAATTAAAAGTCACTCAATGATGATATATTATTGAATTAGAATGGCTATTGCCAAAGCAAGAAGACTAGAAAATCTTGGCATAAGACAAAAAACTCGAAAGACATTGACAAGAGTGAAGAAGGCTTCACTCTTGCCTCCATATATATTCTTAATTAAGAGCTATAAGACGATGTCCTATAGGACCTCCAAAACGTGTTGACTTTGCTAGCCACATGTCTTGACTTGCAGGGCAAGTTATCTATATATATGCCACATAGCTAGCTTGTTCTACAAGCTACTACATAAAGTTAATTTTTCCCACAAGTTATCAATATGTAGTTAACTTTTTGGCCAAGTTTCTATCTTATAAATACATCTAAAGTCAAAACTGCATCTATAAAGCTTACAAGAAGCTTTCTTAAAAGACTTTATGAAATTAATCTATATTTATCTACTTAATTATATAAGTAACTATTGAGATAAATGTATATGTCCATGACACCATCTTCTCAAACATATACATTTATTCCAATAGTTACTTATATAATTAGGTATATGAACCGTTGAAAAAACATATGATAAAGTTAAATGGAAATTTTTAGAAGAATTAATACTAAAAATAAAATTTGATATAAAATAGATTGATTGGACTCAAGCAATATATATAGATTCATGGTGCTTGGTATGTATCAATAAAATCAACAAATCTTTTAAACTCACTAGATTCATCAAGCAAAGATGCCATTTAATTCTTTTTTGTATCTTTTTATTGTAGATTGCTTAGACGATGTACTTAGAAGTGATATTAATGTACAAAGCATTAGACTCTCAAATTACATCAATAGCATTACTAATCAAGAGTTTGCAAATGATACAAATTTATATCTTGCAAAAACTCATGACAACTTAGAACAAACAAAAACAATGTTATTGATATTTTCTCTAGTGGCTGAGGTCTAGATTATTTAAAATAAATTCTATACTATGTGGGTCTTGTAAGAGCCATAGAACTTCATGTAAAGGGAGTCAATTTACTTTTTTTGGCTTTTCCTAGGGCAGACAATAGTCTATTTAATATTTATGGTGGGGCTCCAAGTTTCTTCTAAAATGCACTTCAAGGCAATACTAAAATTCCTAAAAAAAAGCTTGTGTACTAGTCAACAATGAAGCTTTTTCTAACCAATTATATTTTGATAGCTAATCAAGTTCCTTTGCTTGATATGATACATAGCCTTGTATTAGTGTCCGACCTTCCATACAATCTATAAAGTGCATTTTCTTATATGTAACTACATTTGCAGTGGAGAGGATGATGAATGCCAATGTAAGGCCAAAGTAGCTTGAAATTCTTTGACCCTTCTTCACAAGCTTGATAGCATTAAATTAATTAATTTTGAGGTATAAATACAATTACTAATAACAAAAATTCTTATCAAAGGCTTATTCCTTAGTTTTGTCTTATAAAATATTTTTATATTTTATTGTCTATAAGTTCTTAGGCCAAAAAAAAGAGGCTTGTGGCTATTACATATTTACTTTATGTTCTTTGCAATTTACATCTATGGCTTTATTTTAAAGTTATTGTAGGTGATATAAAAGATATAGACACACATTTGTTACAATCTAGCTATTCAATATTCTACTAGTGTCAAAGCTACTACACAGCAATGTATTTTTTTAGAATGATAAAATTATAATTTTTAAAATTTTGTGCTTGATGATATAGCTTATTTGTATAGTAACTCATGGATGTCCAATTAGATTACTCAAATGAAGGAAGTATAGAATGAATCTAAAAGATCATGAAAATCTACAATGGATCTCACTAATAAACTATGCTATCATATCATAGACCTTTATTGTTTAAAAGTTTTTGATTCTATACCAAGTACATAGAATATGTTCTAATCTCTAGTTTTTTAAAAATATGGATGGGTAACCACTCTTAATATATACAATAATGTTAACCAACTTCAACTCGGAAAACTAAATAAAAGAGTCAAATTTTATTTTTCACAATTGAGTACATATACTACAGCTTCTGAGGATACAATTGGCATAATAGGTTGGATCCTATATTGATCATATGTTGCAACTTCTAAAGGCAACTTACAGCAAAAAATCCTAAATCAAGCAATGACATACTTCTAATTCATTCTATATACAAGAATAGTCCAAAATCTCTCTTTTTATTTTTATTAATAGAAATAGCATGCAATATCTTTCTTTTTAGAAGCCATATTTTTGAATTACTTTGCAAAACAAGGTATCACACTATAATGGAGGTAAATCACCAACCATTGTGTCTCTATACCAAATAAGCTTGCCTCAATTTAACTACTGAAGAATCCAAATAATCCATTAAGTTGATTTAGAATCTAAATAAATTGACCAAATTCCAAATTTTGCTTTGGCTAAATAATTCAGATGGCTTGCCTACTCGCAATTATGGCACAACCTTGGAATTCCTCAAAGAATGTTGATGTAATCTATGGATTCTTAAACTTTCAAGTATTATCTCAAATCATATAGAAAAGTCATCACTTTGGCTTTGTTTAGACCCAATTTAGGCACTACTTTCAATTATCCTAGAAAGAAATTGTAATAATAAGCCCACTAGATGCAAACCTACCAAAGGACATGATACTTGACTCTTGAGACCCACAAGGGATGTTTTACAAGTTGCCATACTCTAGCTATCTTGGTGTGCCTAGTATAAGAAGACTTTCACTAATAAATCAATAGACATTTTTTTGGTTATCCATAGGGCATGGCACAAAACCATCTTTGCATGCATGGCCCAACTCAACAATCTCATGAGTCTACTTGCCCTGTGTAGTCCAAGCAAAAAGGCCTACCTGGCAGCTGAGTTTAAAGTAGTATAGTGTCACAACCAAGTTTTTTGCACCTACTACTTGTTCTCACCTCAGTGGAACCTTTCGCCTAGACCAGTTGACCTGATAACCCCATGAGGGATCAAGTAGGACCAGGTCCTACTTGTATTTCTTTCTTTTTAACTACACACCGTTACTTTTATATATAAAAAAACAAAAAACAAGACAAAACAAAACAAAACAAAAAAAACAAGCAAACAAACAAACAGACAGAGATGGCTATGCGAGTCTCTTCATCCGCGCCTAATCAAGGTTACTGATGAATGTTGTTCGAGCGAAGATTTCACCTAGAGAATAGCTCAGCGAGAATGAAGACGAGTAGCCACTCTTGTCAGTTCCTTGCTGGGTGCTGTAGGGAACCTCATACTATTTTACTGAGGATTTCAAAAAACCTTATTTCAAGTCAAAAAGCAAATATACCTCAAGCCTCCTCCATCAATGCTTGGATTCTCTTATTATTTTATTATTATTTATAACTTTTAGACCTCACACCGACAGAACAAGATTACTTAGTTGGCCAGCTTTTTTGATGTTCTAGAAGTGTATCTTATAACAGTGTATTCGTGGCAAGTCGCAGAGCTGTAAATGTTATCCACAGACAACATCACATTTTCACACTTTTTGACTCTATTCCGCATTTGTGGTTCAAGCTCTAGAAGAAAGGGCAGTGGATCAAGGCACCACCAACCTCGACTGGCTGTAGTAACACATGTTCTAGATAGTTGCTGATCATGCAACAAAATTACTCCCCTCGCTGGGTTGCAGCATACTACCTCCGACGTTAAACCCAAACTCAAGGTAGTCCTCTAAGCGTCTCTACATGGCTTTGAGGTCGAAGCTTCGATAAATTGTTATTAATTGTCCAATCATAGCCTTCCCCTTGGAATACTCCCCCGGGACGGTGGAGGATGCGGCTGTAGAGAGCCCTGCTTACCTGCAGGAGAGGTTGCTAGCTGTGGTACACGTAATGGAGCATTGAAATCGGGTTGACCTGTGCTAGTGACACAACGATGGTACATAACACTGTTGGGGTCCACCATGCGAGGCTTTTTGATGACAATGGGGATGGGTAAGAAACAGTAGTGTGTGTTGACAACCCCTATTGTAATGTTCGTGTATCCTGCGAAGGCTCCATGAACCTGCTACCAGTAATCAATCAGACAATTTTGAAGATTAAATCAGGCTGGAAATAGAATTACCTTCTCTGGTCAAATATAAAGTGAATCACTGTATGAATTGTATCGCTGTAGCCAGTAGTTATTTTACCGCATTTTGGCCGAGTATACTGCAAAAGATGTGATCGCCTGAATTACAAACCCTGGCTCGGATCATGTAGGTAGGGTCGATGTATTTGGCATCGATTGGTATTTTCTGCGTTGCAAAGAATTCCTTCACCTGCACGTCACAACCCACACTAAATTTTCAGTTTCGGTGTTCATCTTGAGCGAAGCAAAAGATTCAAAACTAATTTACGCTGCGAGATCTATGAGGGTCCAACTCTTTGACAACGGGGATAATTGTGTGCATATTGAGATCATTTGGTTGAGTTTGACTATACTTTGCCCGTAAACCACTTTCCAAAATCGCCAAGAATAGGATTCCCGGAAGCATCGAGGCCCCCGACACCTTCCAGAAGGTCCTATACACCACCATTTCCAGTTTCATCACTGTATGTGCAGAGATGGAGACTCCACTGTGACAATAATAGAAAAGCCCAGTTACATCACATGAGATGTAGAAACATTCTAGATGATGAGAGATATCGTTCAGAGTGGAGAATTAATTACCTGTCCAGCACCTTCTGCAACCACTACGACACATATGCCATTCAATTCAATTTTTTGCTTCATATATTCAAGAACTCCATGTTTCCCACCCATCGTAAAAGTCACCTGCAGCAAGGGATTTTGCCATTGTCATCACTAACATCTCGAATGAAGCCGGTAAAAGGTTCGAGAAAAATGAGGACAGGTCAAATGCTGTGAGTAAAATCTCCTTGTGAAATCCTATGCACCTCGGGTATCAACACAATGTCTACTTGGCCACTTGCAATTGTTGCATACATGGTAATGTATCCACTTTGCCGACCCATCAACTTCACGATACCCACTCCATTGTATGCACTGCTTGCCTGCACTTGCATCTTCAAAAATTAACAAGTAGCTGGTATTTCTTTGAGGCCCTTAATATGAGAAAGATCATGTCTCTAACCTATGGAGTTGAATTTGAATAAGAGAGAAAGATAGACCTCAGTGTAAGCAGCGTTGATGGCACGCTGTGCCTCTTCAACTGCCGTGTCAAAGCCAAACGTCTTGTCCAGAATTTCAATATCGTTGTCGATTGTCTTAGGAATCCCCACAACCACCATTTTCATCTTCCTTTTCTCGCACTGCTCAACCCAGTATGGACATCCAATCAATACCATTGCAGGACATTACTGTAAGGGGTAGAAAAGAGGAAAGAGTGATATCGTAACTAGTTTTTAAAAAACCAAATCCGTCACAATTTCTTAGGCTAAAATATGCAAAATTATAGATACTGAAACATACGTACACAGTCGTAAACATAATCATTCACTTAGAATAATATCAAATCCTGCAGTAACCTGTTCATAAATAGCAGTTGCGCCTGCATGAGATCCGTTTCCCCCAATTACATAGAACATGTTGATGTTCCATTCCTGTCAATGTGCATTCAGCGATGGAGCAGATTTAGAACCAGGAAGAAACAACGAAGTAGATTTAGATAGTCTCCAAGGCAGTCAATAGAAATAGTTGTTGCGTCGCATTCCATCTCACATCCGCAACTAACATGCTCCTGAATCACAATGCTGAAATCGGAGACTGAGGAACATAGTTGTAGATAACAAGGACCTCAAGTCTGTCCACAATGTCCTTCAGAGGAGGACAACCTCGCGAAACGCCCAGAAAGCTGCCCCCTTCCATGTTGATGGTTTTCACAAGTTTCCGACTTAGCTGCATTCAACGCAAAACCTTTTGAGTTTCACAGCTATTCAGATTGAAAACTCTTTGAAATTTCGTCGTACACTTCAACCAGCAAGCAAAGTTATCAAATGGTTGAAAGTGACTACGAAACACCTTGATGGGTGGATAATTCTTGTCAACAAACCCTTTAAAGCCGTACTGAATGCCCAGTATGTGATTCACTCCATATGTTTCCAATGTGAATACTACCTGGAATCATTCACATTTATCTTGTGTCAGTTACAATGCTAGGCTGCCCCTATTATGGCAACCCAGAATGATTTGCATTAATTTGATAGTTATGAACATAGCAGAAAGGGTGAGAAATGGGAGCATTACTTGGCGGATAACATCATTTAGACCTGGACATAATCCACCGCAAGTCACAATGGCTGCTTTGACCTGCACACTCATAGCCACTTTCACCTCACTGTCTTAGATGATAAGCCTAAATGATCCTTTTAAAACTTTAGGTAAAATCACAAAACTTAGTGTGCCAAAGCATGATCAGAGAATCGATGCATACCTGTTCGGGATTGAAATATATCCAAGCACGCGGGCCGGCACGCCTAGCCCTGCGCTCACTTTTCTTTTGTCAGATTCATCACATAAACCCCTATCCGTCTGTTGCTACCATAGAATCTGAGAGTTCAAGAATTTTTGACAATGCCGTCCGCAAGCAAACACGCAGCTTGACATAAAAACAAACTGTTTACCATAAAGGCCGAAATTGCCAATTTCCATTCTCATCGTATTCAATACCCACAGAGCTGGGGTGTCCAAAATGAACAATCTGTTTCCTCATCAAATTTGCAGATGCATAAGAAGACGACGGTGAGAAGTTTGCATTTGTCACATCGTATTAGGTCTTGTATGCGCTCATCAAATCCATTCTACATCATGTTTCATTCTGCTTCTTACGACACGCATGTAACAATGGTAGAGTTGAGCCGTGTGGACCTTGACCAGTACACGATCATCATCGTGCACGTAGATGCGACGCATATCGTTGGCATCCACCTTCGGACTCGCAGATCCTTCAATAGAATTGCCCCTATCGCAACAATTCGCAGCAGCACCATCAGGATGCCTATCTATCAAACCAACAGTCACTGAGCTGCAGAAACTTCCGAGATTATCAGATAGAATTTCAAATGAGGAGCAACCGAACCCGCTCTTGGTGCGATAGTTCGATTCAATTGCAGGCATAATGAGCCGGTCGCTAATGTGAGGGAGAGCAAAGGGGTCATTGAACGGTGGGGAGAAATGAAATGCTTGCGGATTGCTCGCACCGCTGCTGCCTCTCCTGAAGCAAGAAAAAAACCCCACCATCTTTGCCCTCTAATCTTCTTCCCTATCTCCGCATTCCCTCTACCCCAGGGTTCCTGCCTCACCACAGCCAGCTAATCCTCCTCCGAACTCCCATCCTCACAATTCAACATCTCCTTCCCAACGTCAACGACGAGTCTGATTGTAGGGAACCCTCTCCAAATCTCCCCCATCGTCTTCCTTCAACTTGTCAATCCAATGCACCCAGACTTCCCCAATTGGCGTGTCCTTGTCCTCATTGCAGCGCCACAATTAGCTGCTGCAGCCAAAATAATAATTTCCTAAACCGTACCCACGATGCTTATTCATTCCAATTCTGGGGGATCAATTCTGTAATTCACAACCCACCATCGCTCTCTCTTCTTCCTCCTCCAAAGCTGGCCACACCCTTCGTGAAGAAGCTCCGTTGCCATCCAAGCTTTCCGATTGCGTCCTCCCCAATGGACTCCATCCTTCACAGAATTCCCCTCTGCAACTGCCTTGAGTAACAACTCAAGCCCATGCTGCAAACTCTGGCAAACACAATTCCGCAAGAGCTACTTCAGCGGACTAGGAATCACAAAGGAAGAGCGAGAGATTCAAAGAGAGCTCGAAACGAGAGGACGTGTTCACACCTGCGTTTCCTTTTTAGAGTCCAAACCTCCACGTCATCCAGGTCTCACTGTTTGGGGATCTCATTGTGTAACTGGGCAATGCGGTGTGGTGTGAACGCGTGCGTGGTGGCGAAGCCACTCAACTCCGAGGCCAATTTTACATTGAATTGGGTTTGAGTGTGTTTTTAGCCCTCACTGAGGACAGTACTCCATCTGATAACTGTTTCCCTCGTGATAAAAATAAAAATAAAATTGAAATTAAAAAAATAAGGTTTGAAGCTACAATTAAGACAATTTAGTGGAACATTTAAGGTCAAGAAAAAAGTGTAAAAAATACGCTGTTTGAGATATATTTTTGAAAAAAAAAAATAATGGGGATTTGGGAAGAATCAAAACATAAAGTTGAGGTGTATTAACTTTTGTATGTACACATGTATATGATAACACACACACTTGCATTACTGCAAACAAACAAAACAAAATAATAACATAAAACCAAGCAAATTATTCAAGGATTATGATCAATGTATATTTGATGAATGTGAACATCATGCATTTTTCTTCGAAATAAGATTTGTGGTAATATGTATTCAGTAAATATACCAATATGACTTGTGGAACTTGTGGAATCCTATACTAAACAACCCAAATGGTTTCAAGTATTATTATGGAGTTTTGACTATTGATTTTAAAATTTCTAAATTCAATTCTTTTAGTAATAAAAACTTTCTAAAAATAGATTCATAAGGAGAAAAGAAGCTGAGAGGTGTTTATCTGCATGATTCAATTTTTGATTTTTAATCTAAAATAGAATAATTACCTAAACCACTTATTTTAAGAAAAATAGATTTTTATACAATGAAGTAAATACAGACTTAAAATTCAATAGAATGAAGTGATAATAAATTAAAAAAATAAAATAAAAAATTACACATAAGTTAAATTTCTGAAAAAATATTTTAGGTTTAAGAGTTCAAAAAAGTAATTACTAACTAAAATACTACTATTTATCTACTTTTTTTCTACTGTGACTTAACAGATTAAGTGAGTCTATACAGCAATCTAAACAAATCATGAAAAAAATGCAATTTCATTTCTTAAGATATAGACTTTAGGTTAGTACATGCAATTTATTATTCAAAAAAATCTTCATCTACAAATGATGTTTTGATACCTATTTAATAAAACTTTAGATCCTTAATATTAAAAAGAGTTATAAATATTATAAAATAAAGTTCTATTTAAATTAAAGCAAATATCCTATTGATTTATTGACTTTTTTTTATCAATTTTTTTGGCAATAAGTATTGTTTTTTAGTCATCCACTAAATGATTTAAATTCCGATTAATCTTGCAAATAAACTTGCATTTAATAGATTTTTTTTATTAGTTAAAATGTTTACTTTCAAGTCTTTTGAGAAGTAAGATTTTGTTTTATTTATTTTAAATAATATATTTATTTCACGACTTTAGTGAAAATAATCAATTTCTTGGTTCTTGAATTAAAAAATATATATGATAAATATCAAAATTACTTAAGACTTGTGAGCCATTTTTAAAATTATTAATTCTTAAATTATATGATTTTATTTTTTTACTTTCTTGTAAATAAGCTAACATAAGATATGGTAGAATTTTTTATAATTTTTTATTATTAAACTAAATTAAAATATAATAAATTACTTTTTAACTGATAAAAATTTCCAAATTTATCTTAATTTTTATTATTCGAATAAATTGTTGATTTAACATTTTTAATTTTTTTTTCCTCTAAAAACATATAAATTTATTTTTTTAGATTAAATTTAATAAAAGATTCATTAAAAACACATATATAAGTAGTTCATGTAAATAAATAAAAGTCATGTAGTAATTACAATTAGCCTAATCTGATTCCCACAAAAAATTAAAAATCCAAATTTGAATTTTATATATATATATATATATATATATATATATATATATGTATATATATTTCTTTTATTGAAAAAATCATCTATAAAAATGCATCTTATATTTTAATATGATATTGGATATGTCTGTTTTTCAATCTAACATGGTAAGATATGCTTGGAAATTAATTAATTAAATTATTGAAATACCATATTCTTCATATATTTGCTTAAAAGCTTTTTTTATATATACATATATATATTTTTGATAAAAAATGTTAAATATTTTTATTTATTTTTATTTTTGTAACTCTTTATTTCTTTTCTTTGTAAATAATTTAATGAATAAAGAATTTCCAAATTTTTAAAAATGCGAATTAATAGGATATTTATACATATATATTATTTTTAATTAATAATAATAATTAATATATTAATATTATTATTATTATATATTTTTAATAAAAAATAATATTATTTTATTATTTATGTTAAAAAGTATCAATTCCAAAAGCTCTATTGAATAGATAGAATCTTTTGCAAATACATCATATTAATTTATTCTTATGAACATAGCCTTTAAAACTTTTTATTTATAAATATTTGTTTAAATTTTAAAACAATTACTACAAAATTTGTGTGTAAGTTCTATTCATTTATAAAATAAAAGTTGCTAAATCTTGAACTCCATAGTGCTAGCTTTCTTCAAAATAACTTAAAAATATTATTTTTTTTTTAAATAGTTTTAGTAGCTCTAATAAACTTCTAAATTTTATATTTTTAATGAGAATAATTATTTTCTTTTTAAAACCACCATATTTGTAAATTTTGTTTTGAAAATTTGATTTGATCTTTTTTTATTAAATATCAATATTTTGGTCAGTTCTTTTAAATATTGAATGTTATTACAAAAATTAAGATATAATAATATGAAATGTTAAAATTTTTTAATTCTATTTTATTAATACTACTACTAATATATAATATAATTTTTTATGAGCTATTCAATAATTATATAATAAATTTGGAATTTGTATATTTTTTCTACAGACAAATCTTGCACAACTAACAATCATAGTTTTGCTTATATCTCTATAATAATTTATATTTGGTTAAATTTAATAAATTATTGTAATTTAGGTTTATTTATTTTTTAAGAATTTTTTATAATTTGGATTTATTTTTCTTATTGAATGGATTTTTAAAAAATTATAATATTATAAATTATTTTAACCTTTCAAATATTTATAAAGTAGATTTGTTTTTTTAGTAATTAAAAGATTAAATCTTGCAAACCACATTTCAAAAATCTTCTTAATTTTAAAGATCAATCTTTAAAATATTTTTTTATTATATAATAAAATATAAAGAATATATTATAAAAATAAGAATGTAATAATTTGATTACAAGTGATTATTTGATCTCATTGAAAGAAAAAAGATTAATAAATAATATAAACTGAAATTTAATTTTTATTATTTAAAACAAATACTGTATGACAAGAACTTTTAATAATCAATGTACTAAGAATTAATCTACTATTAAAGTCTAATTTATATAAAATTATTTATTTTGATTAGTCTCATAAATGCTTTAATAGATCATTATAGTTAGATGATAATACTACCAACTTATATATTTATATACATAAATATAGACATACACACAAATACACACACACATATATATATATATATATATATATATATATATATATATATATAATTTAGTATTATATATATTATATTTAGAAAAATGATAAAGTGATCCATTTTTTTACTAAAGTGACCTACTCTCTCATAAGCATCATTGCATCTTTAGAGCCTTCATCCTTATTTCCAACTGTTCTCTATTCTCAACTATTGTTAGGGATAAAGGTAGGGAGTTGGAAATTTTACGAATAGGGGTGATAGTTGAGAATAGGGAAACAACTAGGAATGAGGAATGTGAGTTGATTTGGTAAAATTTTTGGTTTTTTTATCATTTTTTTGTATTTAAAGATACAAATTTATAATACATTTTTTATATAATTTTATTATTAACAATTAATATAATTTTATCTAATTAAAGTAATATAAAATTAATTTTTATTCTTGTGTCTTTCTAAACATTCTCAATACATACAACTACAATTGTTTTTCTTTGTCTATGAACCATTTTGTGGGCAATTTTAACAAATTTTTTATATGGTTGATTTTTTTCAAGAAAAAGAGACTAAAAGACAAGGGACCTTGTCAAGAGATATGGAGGGCTATAGCAAAGTGGCTGAGACAAGCAATTAAGTTCTAAGAGGAGTGGTCAAAATATAAATATGGTATAAATAGTCTTTTATATATCATGCACATGATTGGAGAATATTTTTATTCTTGTGTCTTGTGTTGAGAATGTTTAGAAATACACATACATAGATAAAAATCTATTTATCTGGTTGTGTCTTGTATACATGAAGAAAAGAGGAGAGGATAAATAATTTCTATCCACTACATTGTAAATACTGTATCTATAGTATTTATGATAGACTACAGTAAATATTGTGGAGAGCGCCAGCTACATTTAATGCTCTCAACACTCTTCCTCGCTCATCATAATATTTATATAATATAAAATTTGTTCAAAATTATGATTTACACTTTTATGTTATCTCGTAAGATCAATAATTGTTACTTCATTAAAACCTTATCTAGAAAAACCTTATTATATTTAAAGACAAAACCATAGATGAAAGAAAAAGAGTACAACATTATTTTTTTTAATTATTTAAAAAAATTATTTAAAAAAGTTCATTAACTTTCTTATTCAAGAAAAGTAAGTCGTTGCATACCAATGCCATAAATAAGTCGACAATGGTTGCACAATGAAAGAGCTTTGGTGCAGAGATCAACAAGATTGTTTGTAGATTCAATTTTCTTAATTATAAGTGCTTGATCAATAATCAAGTCATGGATATAACTAAAATACTTTGAATCAATATTCTTTGTCCTGTCGCCTTTAATGAAACCAACTTGCATCTGTGCAATACAAGCACTATTGCCTTCATGGAAGATAGTTGGAGAATCATCATATGAAAATCCATAGGTTGTTTGAATAAA